TGCATACCACATTTGGAGCTTCACAATTTTTATAAGTAATTTGAATCACATTTTACTATGAACATTCTCTGGTTGACTGGTGGATAAGGATGATAAAGTCAGTCCAGGTCCGGTCTTGGTCCTAAGACCTTTAGGTCCTGTTACAAGGACCCTTGAACTAAGTCCTCATATGATAAGTCCTAGAACCTAGGTTAGTCTAGGTTCAGTCCAGAACTTGGTCCAAGAACCAATCCCAGGATCTAGGTCAGACTAGGTTCAGTTTAGGACTTGGTTCAAGAACCAGTCCCAGGACTTAAGTCAGTTTAGGTTCGGTTCAGGACTTGGTCCAGAACCAGTCCTGAGACCTAGATCAGGCTAGAGCAAAGACGATGATTTGTTGTAACCAGGGTAACGATAATCACATTTGTGTTATTTGATTTTTTTTTAAAAGATTGCAACAATCGTTTTACATTTGAAGAATCGAAGAAAACAAAATCATTTCTGAATCAATTAATATTTTATTAAATATTATTATCATGATCCTAATCATGATGAATTGACAATAACCACATGATTTTTGAAAGTTTTTTGGTGACTAAGACCAATTCTGTATGTGGTTAAGAAAAATTCTATGTAATTAACGCTGTTTTTATATATATAGTATGTATAATGTACGTATTTTCTGCTATTAACTGTTTTTTAAAAAAAGTCTGCAAAATTACATATGCAAAAATCGTCGCTAGAGATCCGAAGCCACCTAATCATGTAATGATATACAATCATAATTTGTAATACAGTAATATTATTACTAGTAACTAAAAATTTTGACTTTATTTAATCTTTTGAAACTTTCACAATACAATAATAAAGAAACCAAATTCCTGACGAAGATAACAAATAATTGAAATTTAACCTAAGATAATGAAACTATTTAATTTCATAAAAAAAAAAAAGAAACTAATTTTATAAAAAAAAAAAAAAAAAAATTAATGCCTGATCTGCGTTATTTTTGGATTTTTAATGCCATTCACTTCTTTTTAATCAGATTTAACCTATTTAATTACAAATTATAATTAGAAAACAAAAATATGTTAATATGTTTATTTTTACTATTACTAACCATTGGTAGAATCTCATTTTCAATCTAGCTTTTAAAACAAAGAAACATCCTTGATGTTTCTGAATCAAGACGATTTCGGGTCTTTGATATAGTATTTCCTGTTACTGAAAAAGCCTGCTCATAGGCTATGCTAGTTGCCTAGATTGACAAATAATCTCTTGCTATACATCCTAATGTTGGAAACTCTTTTGCATGTACTTGCCACCATAATAAAGGTGTAATATTTTCAGCACAAGGTAAAGCCAAGTATCGTTCTAGTTTATCAGTGGGCTTTTGCTTTGTTTCAGAATTTGGTCCTGTGTAGCGTCGTTTAAGCGCATAAAAGTATTGACGAGCTGTATCAATATCATCTGTAATATGAGGTAGTGGGGGGTTGATTCGTTAGATGTAAAATATTGATCAAATATTTCTCTAATTTTATTAATTGCATTAGAGGTTTGTTGTCTAACTTCAAATAGTGAAAGCTTCGTTTGTGGGGTCAAGAATAGTTGCAACAGTTGTTGCATTATCAATTATATCTTTATATTCGCCAATTTTTTCATTAATTAAGTCAGCTAATATATATTGATTAGATTCATCACTTTCTACATAATTATCAAGATATTCTTGAATACTGTTAAATACCAATCGAATATTCGCAATTGTTGAATATGAAGATGCAAATAATAATTTCGTAGCCTTTTCTAATAGCTCCATTAAGATAAGTATCTCCTAATTTCAAGTATCCAAATTAATAATATAATATTTATTTAAAATTTTTATGTTATAGAACTAAAAAATAATTTTAATATATATTTATATTTATTTTTATCCATTCTTCTGCCGTAGGCATTAAATTTTGAATTTCATAATTGTTAACAGCTAACATTTGCAAAGCAGTTTTCATTCGATTCAATTTTTTTAGCATATAATACGTGCTGTTCCATCTCGTTTCAACGTCTAATTCTGGCTTCAAGTAGTCTAACTTCTGTACAGCACATAGATCCCTTAATTCGTCACATAGCCTTGTTGATATTTTAATTTTTAACATTAATGCACGTACATTAGCAATTTCTTTTTCAATAACCTCTAACCCATAATGTGAAGCTAGATTTAATACATGCGCGGTACATTAATAGTGATGAAAGCTTTGATTATCCAATTCCGTTAGTAAGTTATTTGCCAAGACCCGCCCACATACTAGCATAGCTGATTCGTTATCAGTAGTAAGGGCCAATATTTTATCTAAAAGATTAAATTCAACTAAAACTCTATTAATTTCAGTTGCTATATTTACTTCTGTGTGACGTATAGTAAAGGGAACAATATCCAGCAAAAATTAACGAAACTTCCATTAATAATCTATATAGTGAACAGTAACTCTGAGGAAAGCTTCATGATTAATGGTTGATGTCCACATGTCTGTTGTTAAAGAAACTTTGCCAGGAATTTTATGTAAAGTATTAATTATATTTCCTCTTTGTTCTTTAAAGTAACTAATGACCATATCTTTAACTCAGTGACATTCAGGAACTTTGTAATATACATCAAACATGTTAATCATCTCAATAAATTTTTTATTTCCAATGATGCTAAACGGTTGTTGGTCTACAATCACCCAGGTAATTAAAGCAGTATCATGGTCTTTTTTTTGCTTCTTAGACCATGGATCAGTATGATCAAATGATAACTTTGATTGGTAAGATTTAATTTTTGAAATTTTAATATTATGTCAGTTACTCAAATATCTTTCTAAACTTGAGGTTTCAGTTTTATCTGAAAATTTGGTACTGTATTTCTTGCATATTGGGTGATTAGGCTCTTCGGCTTTAAATTCAAAATAAGACCATAAGGGCAATGGTTTTCTTGCATTGTTAGTCAAAGTTGGTCTCTAACTCTGGAGAGGGCAACACATCATATATTTCATTATAATCATCTATAACTAAAGATGATTCAGGATCAGTAATAATAGATGAGTCAGAATCCATAATAGTAGATAGATTGTGTGAATGGTTGTGAAGAGCAAACTGCCCATGGTTTTTGATATAAGATTTAAATAAAATTTTTTTTTTTAATTTTACTTGATTAATACTATCTCTAAAATTTATAGGTTTTATACAAGGCTTGAATTTTTAAATTTACTTTAATGCATAATGCAAATGGTATTGCAACTTTTAGGGATTTTTATGACGCAAAGACATGTTTATCTTGGATCTTCAGAATTGCTATGATTTTTTTGGATTTTCATGATGCTTATTTTAAATCTTTAGAATCTAGTTGGAATCTTTTGGAATCTTTGAATTTTCTTTGAATCTTCTTTAGTATCGCAACTTTTGGGGATTTCACAGCGCAAAAATATGTTTATTTTACAGAATTTCCTATTTAACTATAACTATGACTAATGATTTTTTTTTTTATATATACCTTTTTTCTACCAAATTTGTATTTCAATCAAATTTGTATAATTTGATCTATTATCGATACCTTATGATGTAGTGATCAAATTTTGATGATTTTGATATTATTTGAATTGTTTCATTAAAATCATCAAAATTTGATCACTACATTATAAGATATCAATAATAGATCAAATTATACAAATTTGATTGAAACACAAATTTGGTAGAAAAAAGGTATATTCTTACCCAATTTCAAATTAGGAGCCGAACAAACTAATAACATCTTTATTTTCAAGTGCATTACATAATGATGTAGTAAATTGGGCGGAAAAATTTGCATAATTAGCAAATTGAATAAAAGCAAATCGGGCATCACGTAATCCCTGATATGAATCTGATTTGAGACAGGTATTTGGCAGATATAGAAGATTTTTAAGATACAAATCGGGCTCA